GGCTGTTCGTCCTTCTCTTGCTTGGCTTTTTGATTAAGAAACCAGAGAGATCCCCTGTTTCTGTAGATCATGCTGAAGTACTGCAGCCGCTGATCTCAAACCTCGCTGGTGAGCAGTGAGTAACCTGCTTTCCCAAGGCTGAGCCCCATTTCACTTTCCTCTTACTCAGCCCTATCTCTTCGATCACCACTCCCTGGACTCGCTCTGCTCCACACCCTTCCCAGCTCTGCCAAGCCTGGATGGGGCAGGCAGGGCTGTGCCTGGTGCCTGGGATTCACGGATTTACCCCTTCTCTGTGAGCCAGGTCCTTCCCAAACCATCCCACACGTTGGGTTTGGATTCCCACTGCTCGAGCGCTGCAGTGGCATTTTCAAAGCCCTGGCCATGATCGTTGCCCAAGTGACAGCAAGCAGTTTTGATGCCCTCGTGTTTGGGGGTTCACAGGGACGGCTAGGTACGGCACATGGACAACTGCTGAGATGCTGTGATGCGGCATCTTCCTCCTCCTCCTCCCGCCAGCATCTCAGCTCAGGGTGCACCATCTGCCAGCAGCAGAGCCTGAGCTCCAGCGATGCCCTTCAGGCAGCTCCTCCTTGTGCTCAGCCACCCAAACCAGATGCAAAGCAGCACCCTCACCACCCACAGGGGCTTCCTCTGGGGCTCAGGGCGATGCCACGAGCCTGCACAGCATTGCAAAACGCAGTAGCAGAATTTGGTTCCTTCTCCTGCCTCCAGCGGCCGAAGCACGAGCCCGGAGAGGAGCAGCCCCAGCTGCTGTGTCGATATCCGGGCTCAAAGCTGCTTCTGGCGGGGCTGTCTACAGGCAGGAGCCAGCAAGGGTAAGTTTTGAGGCTTTGGGAGGTGCAAAGCCCAGCCACAGCTCCCTCCTCATTGTTACTCGTCTTTCCCAGGCCGCTGTCAGTTGACAGGGTGACAGCGCGCACAGAGTAACACATCACATCGTTCAGACAACCACAGCAATGCAAAACATGTTTAAAAACCCCCAACTCCAGAGCTTATGTAAGTTGGGAAGATACGGAGATCAGTAATGGAAAAAACCTGCATGTTGCTGTAATGGGAAGGACTGATCTGATCACCACCACAGGAGCATCATTACAGAAGGAAATGTGCTCCACCCTTTATCTGCAGCTTGGGATCTGCCCACCTCTGCCCATACCTGTGCTGCACCTGCAGCCCTGCGGGACACAGCTGGTTTTCTCTGCACCAGTTTGCAGCCTGGTCCATCACCAGCCCCTCCACCTTGGGAGATCGTCCTGACACCCCTCAGAGTTACCCTCAGGCCAGACTAATCCAAGCGATTCTGTACCAGAAGCAGCTTGTTTTCCCTCGATGGCCATCCAGCCCTTCCCAGCCCACCTACATGTGTCATGGACCACATCTCCCAGCACACATCACCAGGGGACCCCACGTACAACTTCTCTACTTCACCATGAAGCTTATCCATTTATTTCTGCCGTTTGTGCCTTGCCTTTTAACCAATAATTCATTACCTCTTACCCATGACAACTAGGTTTCTTTTTTCCAAGCCTTTAGAAGAGAACATCGCAAAAAAGCTTTGGAAAAAAATCTAACTACGTATCAACCAGATCACTGGCATCCACAGTCACTGACTTCTTCAAAGAGCTCAGATGTGGCAGCAGGACTGTGCTTCAATCAATTTGACAGGAGTATATCACATCTATGCAAATATCTATTCAAAGATCTTCGAACATCATTGATGCAAAAGTTATGACAGTTTGGAAGCCAGCACAGCAGCCCTGGTAACATTTGGCAGCTTAAAACAATGAAAAAAATGGGGGGAAAAAGCCAAATTTTGACTGTATCCTCAGTGTGCTATGGCATGGTCTTGAATGATACCCTGTTCTAAGGTCGTGCTTCTTATCCTGGAGCCCTGTCACATGGAATATTCAATAGTGTCTTTAAAAACACCCAAAATATCATGAATCACAAATACTACGTGATCCCAACTGGAGCTACTTGCATTGGAAATGAACGTTTTGGATGAACTTCAGAACTTACCCAGGGATATAGTAGGGACTGGGAGGGAAGAGGCTATTTTCCTTCGGGGCTGCCATGGCAATGTGGCAGCTCTCGGTGGGTGTGGGAGGAAGGAGATGCAGCACGACGCAGTCGCCCGGGAAACCTCTGTGATGCTGCCGGGAGCGATGCCGGCACCGACAGCCCTTCCAGCTGCAGCACAAAGCTTGTCAGGTTTTTCTGGATGTGTCTTTTTTCCTCCCCCCACCTGGACATTTTGGATGAACACAGAGATTTTATAGCATTTGTCACATTACCGGAAGGCTCGTAGCCCTTGGGACAGTAGTGCCAGATGTTCCCCCTGAGCAGCCCCAGCACAAGGACGTGTTCACACGCTGCGGTTGACGTCCAACACTCACAACGCGGGACAGCGTGGCTGCGTGTGCCGCGGTCACCGGTGCAGCCCACGCACAGCCGGGCCGGCGCTGTCTGCACACACACGACCACGTGCCCACCTTTCTGTCGAGGAAACCCCAAGGCAGGGGTTAGGGATTCGCTGTGCTGCAGTGGAAGGCTTAACCCTCCCCTCCCTGCTCCTTGTTGCCCTCCTGGTCTGGCTGCAGTCCCCCGCTGCCTTGCTTCATGCAGGATAAAGGCTGCTCCCGTTTCCAATATTGTACCGTCATGCTGTCTTGTGTGGGGTGGGTTTCACCCCTCTCCAGTTGAAGGCAGGCCTCCTGGGTACTGAACAGCCACTGTGGCCACTATGTCCTCAAGTCAAAGACCACTACGCCTGTTAGTACCAGCATAGTTTCCACCAACAATACCAGCAGCAAGCCTGCTTCACTGCCAAAGTCCCTCTATGGCCTTGAAGAGCTCATCCAAATGGCTGGCAGATACTGCAAGATACTTCAAAGATACTAACCAGAAATCACAGAGCATTCAACGGTTGTTCTCATCTGTTTGGGTATCTGTAACTCCACCCAAAGCTGTATCTGAAGAGATAAAAACACTGCTTTGACTCTTGCCCTTGAACACTTTGGGAGATATGGAACTTCCAGCCTTTACAAATACATTTGAATTTGTCCAAATACCTGAACTCTGATCAGGGACCTACCTCTCCAGCAACCCCAAGTCTGCAGGGTGGATGGGTCTGCGAGGTGTACGACAGCTCTTCTCAGGGGCACGCAGTGAAAACCAGGAAGTAACAGGAACAAGATGCAACAAGGGCAAGGCCCACTGGATGCAAGGAGAAAATTCTTCCCCCCCGGGAAAGGCACAGCCCTGGCACATGGTGGCATCTCCGTTCTTGGAGATCTTCCCCCTCAGCTGGGGAACACCCAGAGCACCCCAATGCAGCTTTGAAGTTAGCTCAGCTTTTAGCAGACAGTTTGATGAGAGACCTACAAAGGTCCCTCCCAGCCTAGATCTTCCTCTGAGTTTAATATGAACAGGAGACACAACCTGCTTACTGAAATGCAGCACTGTATTCGCAGCACGGAACAACGATCCCAGGCTGTTCCAGGTCCCATCAGACTCCTTGGCACCTGAGGAGGCTCAGGCCAGCATCTTCCCCACATTTTCAGACACTCCCCTCAAAGCTCACTCCTTTAAACAGCCATAGCCAGTGGCTGCTCCTTCCAAACCTGGGCGTCATGCGCTTACCAAAGAGCTACCGAATAATCAGACCAAAAGATAGGTCCTCAGTGCAGACAGCTGGGTAAAAAAGCAGAAATTCACTTTTGTCAAGGTTATCATTAGAATTTATTGATACGAGAGAAACTTCGTATGTCAACATGTCAACGGAGGAACAGCACATCCTGACATAACAGAAGTACAAGGCCCGTCCAGACGTTACAGCGCTCTGGCATCTCTGAACTCCAAAGTACAGGAGATCACGCACACGGCTGCGTATGACTTGGGTACATTTTCTGGGACAGGATAGAAATACTCCAGAAACACAATCGATGTGTGCTTTGCCAGCCACCAGTGCCCGACAGGCTGCAGCAGGGACCACGCTGGTTTTGACTCCCCCTGCCCAGCTCCAGACAGACGGTGCACACGTGTGACGGCAGCTCACCCTGGGCCCCTCTAGTCAAAGGGGAGAAAAAAAAACCCACACCTAATCGGGGGTGAGATTCACCTGAGCCCACGTAGCTGTCGCAGGGAGATGAGATGACTTGGATCCCCCGGCTCCTGGACACGTAAAGGGGCTCAGAGGACCAGCTCAGATGGAGATGCCTCCACGCAGCCAGGGGAACCCCACGCCGGGCCTGCAGCGGGACGAGCTGGGCTCGGCCCTATCAAGGGAGCTGCCACGGGGGAACTTCACGACAGAGTTTGTTCTGCCTGGGGAGCAGATGCGGCCACACCACACTCCGCCCTGGCAGCTGCCAGTTCAGAAACATGCTCTTTCTTTCGACATAAGTTATCCTCGTATTGTCACTGTTCTGACATTCCCTCTCCCAGCAGTGCCCTCTTGCAGAGCTCACAGCACAGACAGCCATTCATACTACGCTTGTGGCTAAGATAAAAATTATCTTTATAATCTTTACTGGAAATACATGTTATGCTGGATGCTGTTTTAAAAAAAAAACCAAGTGCTGAGCTTTCATCTTCTCCCAGCTTATGAAATATTTGGTTTGGTCCTAAGTATCTTACTAAACAATTAGAGAGGGAATAGCAGAGTATTCCCCAGGCACCTGGTATATCCTCAGAGGATTTATTGTAGAAACAAGCTGAATTCTCCAACTCATTCCAAATGGATTTCAGAGCCCTCTAAAACCCTCCAGAGAACGAGCCGTTTGTGACACGGCAAATAAAAAACCAACCCCAAGTCCAATGAGTAAACGGTCTCACGCTGTGCAGGGAGCATCCCAACTACACCCCAACCACGGGGATCAGCCAGCCCCACCTCCCCATGCCAGAGCTGAGCCCAGCGACAAAGGAGGGTGGGCCGAAGTGCATCTGCCTGGCCGACAGCCTGAGCGCCGCTGCAGACCCCGAGAGGAGGGGCCCCGCCGATGCCGGACGTGGGTACCTGACCTGGGCGCACGGGCACACGCGCGTGCCGGGGGACGACCCGTACTCCGCTCCTTTTCCTCGCGCGGGAGCTACGACAAGTGACACAGCCGGTTCTGCTCTCAGCCATCCGGTTTCACCAAACCCAAGTTCCCTCTGCACATGTAACAGCATTGACTTAGAGATCTCATATTAATGGGTACTTATACAGGATTAATTGCACATCAGTCCATTGTGGCTACAAGTTCATTAGGCTAATAAATCTACATAGTGACAGTAGTACAGTATCAGCTACTTTTCAATACAAAATCCCTACCCTAGCCTTAATTTGTAGGTCAAAAGAAGATCTTCTACCGCAGTGACCTTCCTATGACCTTTAACATTCATTCTCAAAAATTTTTCTTCTAGAAAAAAAAAATCCAGTGTGGGGAAAACGCACATATATAACAAAAGCAGTGCTTAACAACCACAGGAAAAAAGAACATGATCTTGGACTCTTGTATCAGCATCCTCCGTAGACCCTGGCAGCATCACTTCCAAAGGGTTGCTAAATGCTCCGTCACTTCTCAAGTCCATTAAACCATTTCCTACCTCTAGACATTTCTAGTCTCTCACTACACCTATCGCCCACAGCAAGAGCATACGGAAACACTTGCTAATGTGCACAAGACTTCCATCTGATGTAATGGAATAGTGTTAGAAGACTGAAGTCTGTACTGGAGGGGCAGCGCTCTCACCGACGGGCAGCTTTCTATTCCACCCAGGAGAGAGCTCCAAGTCCCTCAAAGTTTTACTCATTTGTTTTGCCCAAAGCTGTACGGGTAAATGATAAAACCCCTCTCACAGTATTCCCAGGAAACGATTCAGAAGAGGAGATGATTTTTCAACCAAATGAGATCCTCTGGTCCTGTGTGTCAGACCATGGCCAATAGAATGAGCAGCTGCCATGGACGTCTCAACTTAAATACGGTACAGTCAAGGGAGGAGAGCAAGGTGGCCTGACCATCTTCCCGTGAGGTACAGGCAAAGAGACACCAAAGTCACTCTGTTCTCAACAGTTTGTCTCTCTCTCTGGAGTCAAATGTTCGATTCCATTTGTTCTAGCAGGAAGTGGTGAATCATGTCAAAAGTGGGACGATCTTTTATATCCCTGCTCCAACATTTCAGCATCAGGTCAAACACAGGGTTAGGACACAGAGGAGTCTGGGAGAGATAGATCTGAAAGGAAGAAAGTTACAACTACTCAGTGTTTTTTCATAAAAGAACCGAACCTTTACTAAATTAACGCCAACAGGACAGTTTCATTCCAGGTTTACAAGACACAGCCATCATGCAGTGTTTGAAACCCGTTAAGCGTGAGTCTGGCAGCGAGGTCTGGATGGAGCTTTGACGCCATCTCAAATGGCGCTGCGGACACTTTGCCAACTTGTTTGATGAGCTGGTCACAAACAGTCCTTTGTCCCCCAGGAAACACAAATGCTTCAAAGAGATTTGTCTTCCAAGTGACAGCGAAACACAAACCAAAACCAAAATTTACCACAATAAAATCCAAATACTTTCACTCACCGTAGACAACCCATGAGGCTTTCTAAGCATCGTGACAGCTTGTTAGCAGAGACAGAAAAAACACCTTTTAGAGCTTATCTACAACAGCTTGGCAGAATTTTTTTCCCCCTCTCATTTCAATACACATCTTTCAGGCTCTTCACTTAATCATTAGTATTTGGGAGACAGTGAGTAAAACCTCCCATCATTTTACATCCCTTAATCCTTCCACTTGTTTGGTGCTAAAGGTGAATTTTGGGAGAACAGCAAACTGTTTCTGAACTGGCACTCCACTTTTCTGGGTATAGCAATCCTCAGTACTGAGGAACTGGATTGTCCTGCATCATCCCTGGTAGCTATTGAAGGCAGCAGGAGCAGAGGGCACAGTCCTGCCTGGGAGTTAGCAAGAGAGGGCAGAATGACACAGAAAAGTCCTTCAGCAACTAGAGATGGCCCAAGGCTTCTCGGCATACATGGCGGTGACATTACAGGCAGTATCGTATCCCTGGGAACTACCAACTCCTCCTTCCCCACCTCAGTAAGTGCTGCTTTGTCTTGCAGAAAAAACACCAGTGGGAGAGATCTGACAAAGGAAAAGAGCAAAAGGATTGTGTAGGAGAGCCCAGAACAGCTAAGGAGGACAGGGGAGATTGAAATAAAAGTGGTTCATAATGAGGAAGAAGCACTAGACAGGGCCAAGAGATTCTTCCAGTGGGACTCCAAGAGAGGAAAGCCAGTGCCATGAGCCTAGATAAAGGGGAAGAGAGGTGGGACACACTTGAGAAGATGAGTAACAGAAGCAGAGAGTTCTGCAGACAATCTAAGGGCAGCAGAAAGGCCCTGGGGAGATCCACCTGGATGTGACCAGGTCAAGTGAAGGACGGAGGGGTCACCTTTGCTTTCTTACCTGCCTGCCCTGGCTCCGGAAGAACTCTCCTGTGTTCTCGATGACTTGCTCATCTGAAAGGAGGCTGTAAGGTTGCTCCTTACACAGTATGAACATCTCCCAGAGGGTGACCCCAAATGCCCAGACATCACTGGCTGTGGTGAACTTGCCCTGTGAACAGAAAGGATGTTGTAAGCCCGGGGGCTCACGGTGCACATTCAGCAAAAACCCTTTCAGTCTACACCCTCCGCAGCTCAACACAAGGACGCAGAATTCATACCTGGGAAAATGGTCTCAAAGAGCCAGCAGAGCAGGTGACCTGCTCTCAGCAGGCACAGAAGGACTGAGGTCTGACACGGCTGCTTTGTGGGGCAGGAGCAGCACGTCTGTGGGACCCAGGGGACAGCTCTAAGAAGGTGCAGTTTTCACTGGGGCAAACCTCTGGAAACAGGGAGCAAGTCTCAGAGAAAGCCAGAGACTATTGTACCCCCTGAGAAAGTCTGTATTTGCAGCAGCAGGAAAATGGACTGTGGCAGGGGGGCTGATAGCTGCTGCCTACCTCCACCAGAAATTTAGCAGTGCAACACAGAAAAGCCTTTGAACAGGAAGCAAAGCCCTCGGGGTGAAAGCAGAGCTGAAGCAGACTCCAGACTTAGAGAAAGGCCAAGATTAATTTTGATCTTTGCACATGTAAGAAGTTGGTGACAGTCTGCTTGCTGTCCCTGTTTTCTGTCTTCAAAAAATGCGCCCAAACTGGCCATGTTTGGAACAATGTGTCTCTGAAGTAAAAAGCAGCTAAAGATTGCTCAGAAAATAACAGAAAACAATTTGGGGCTGGAGGGCCTGTGTGGGCAGAAAATATCCAAGACTCGGATTGCCCCGGCTTATCTGGCAACCCTAGCAGTCTGTCAATGTTTGGAAGATGTTCACACAAGGGACATGGCAGTGACTTATGGTTTAGATGCAGTTGTAACCAGGAAGACAGGGTGAATTTAGCCTTTATATCAGCCTTTATAGGAGAGGTAATTACAATTTTTCTGGGTATGCAGAGAGCATGTTGTAAGGAAGTATAACCAGGTGATCTCACCAACTAGTTTGAGAAAGAAATATTGGGCTGAATATTAAGGAACTGCCTCCAGACTGGATGTGTTTGGGCTGTTGAACTATCTCCTAAGGCAAGACAGCAGGACCCTTAAACACAAAACAAAACCCCAACCTCAAAACCAGACTTGGCACTTGAAACTCGTGAAGTTTTGTCCCTGCCCCTCTCAGCTTCCCAGCTGGTGAAATAAGACAGAAAGGCGACTTCCTTAGAACTCCAGCATAGCAGGAATCCTGAATGCCAGGCACAGAACAGAAATCAGGCCCCAGATGCCATCCGGGGGGATGTGACCTGGACAAACTCGAGAAGTGGTCCCATGTGACCTTCATGAGGTTCAACAAGGCCAAGTGCAAGGCCCTGAACCTGGGTCAGGGCAACCCCTGGTATCGATACAGGCTGGGGATGAAGGGATTGAGAGCAGCCCTGCCGAGATGGACATGAGCTGGCAACGTGCACTCACAGCACAGAAAGCCAGTCGCATCCCAGGCTGCATCATAAGAAGCATGGCCAGCAAGTCGACGGAGGTGATTCTGCCCCTCTACTCCGCACTGGGGAGACCCCACCTGGAGTGCTGCGTCCAGCTCTGGGGCCCACAGCACAAGACATGGCCCTGCTCAAGCGGGTCCAGAGGAGGCCACAAAAATGACCAGACGGATGGAGCAGCTCCCCTGTGAGGACAGGCTGGGAGAGTTGGGGTTGTTCAGCCTGGAGAAGAGAAGGCTCCGGGGAGACCTTAGAGCGGCCTTCAGTGCTGAAAGGGGGCTGCAGGGAAGGTGGGGAGGGACTGTCAGGGAGGGCAGCGGTAGGACAAGGGGTAACAGTTTTAAACTCAAACGTGGTACATTCAGACTAGATACAAGGAAGACGTTTTTTATGAGGGTGGTGCAACACTGGCTGCCCAAAGAGGTGGCAGATGCCCCATCCCTGGGAACATTCAAGGCCAGGTTGGACAGGGCTCAGAGCAAGCTGATCTAGTTGAAGATGTCCCTGCTCATCGCAGGGGGGTTGGACTACATGACCTTTAAAGGTCCCTTCCCACCCAAACGACTATGTTGCCATGACTTGTACTGTATTTGCAAGAACACCCTCCTTTCCCAGGATATGAGTTATGTCCAACGCATCCTAATGACCTTCTCACCGGGGGCCACCTGTAGCACACATTTTGATGCTAGAAGGACCTTTACACACACACGTGTTACTGTTTTGGGGGCACTCAGAGGAATGGAGAGACAATGGTTTCGTTCAGTCCCTACCAGGAGGATGCTTTCCCAGGCCATCCAACGAATGGGCAGCACGGCTCTTCCCTGGATACGGTAGTAATCGCCACTGTAAAGATTCCTGCTCATGCCAAAGTCTGCAATCTTGATGGTGTGGTTGTTCCCCACCAAGCAGTTGCGAGTTGCCAGATCTCTGTGCACAAAATTCAGAGATGCTAAATACTTCATTCCCGAGGCAATCTGGGTGGCCATGTACAGCAGGTTAGAGTAGCTGCATGAAAAGACAGCATAACAGAAGGGGAAGGAAAAAAAAAAAAATCAATAGAGTTCCCCACACTCAACTTTTTCTTGCATTTGATGTGTTAAAAGTGACCTGTTTTATTTTCTGCCATATCAGTGAAACTAAACTGTCTAGTTTCAGGGCACTAACACCCCCACCTGGCAGGCTAAGCCAAGCTCCTGAGCTGATGAAGCAAGAACAGACAAGCCGTCCATGAAATTCAGGGCCCTTAGAATTTGACATCCTTAGGTTTTTCATATCAAGCGTTAGTCTCAAGATTTTCAAAGAGTTTATGCATCCAAGCACCAACTTTTTGCAGAGACATATGAAAAATTAAGCTGTACAATCTCAGAACTTCCTATCTTAAAAACCACTTAGCTGGGGATTTCAAACACTGCCACTACATTAATATAAGCAAGTCACTTAACATTCAAGAGAGCTTACTTTGTTTTTACATACATTTAATATTACTGAGAATACAAATAGATGTGTTTTCCATCTAATAATTTAAATTCCCCCATTAGCAAAATGAAGATAATATTAATCAAGCTGCATGACACACAGTTTGGACCATCTGACTTTCAGTATTCTTCACACACTACTGTTCTGTGATGCTCGGCTTGTTTCCCGCTGTGCATGCTCAAATGCTTCACACGACCAAGCATCTATCACAAGAAATCTAATAACCTGTTTGCAGTCAGCATTTCTCTGATAAAGGTCAGAAAAAGAAAGTCTTAAGTCTCCTCCTCGTTGTGTTCTGGTGGCAAGGAGCAAAGCACTACCATGTCATCTAAATTACAATAACGTAACACATCTAACAATAACAGATCCAACCTATCCATTCTAATCAACAGCTCAGCTATCACTGCCGTGACTCGGAGGCAGCCCCTCACCCCGGCAGAGCACTGGCAGGAGGGGCTGGGCACCACTTCCCTCCCAGCCTTTCAGCACGGCGAGCGGAACTTCGCTCGGTGACACTTGGCCCAGTCCCACAGTCAGCTCGATGCTTCTCCTGACCTGGGAGGACCTGCTGTGCCCACAGAGAAGGAACTCCGCCACTCACTGTTAACCTGGTGGTTGGCTTTTCGCACAGGACTGGGCACAGCCTCCACGATCCTGCGCTCTCCCTTCCCCCCGCCGCAGGTACATCCCTGTCTGGGGCCGTTGCTCTTCCCATTCAAGAAGCCCAGTCTCTCCTGTCCCACCTGCACCCCAGCAGGGTCCCGCCAGCAGCTACCTTTTGGCTCCCTGCCCCTCTGCTCAGCAAGCTCTGCAGGGCTCAACGGTGCAGCTCTGCATACAGAAGGGTAGGACGCTTCTCAGACACTTCTCAGCAGACATCTTGATAATTTGCTAGATAGCCAGCGAGACAGCAGGGAGATGCATTTTAAACACCAAAGAGCCATAAGGATTTAAAAACGTGTGACCTCTGCAGGAAAGGGCTGGTCACCACCTTTGGTGCACCAAACACTGGGCCTGAGACAGGTGGGATGGCTGGGCCTTGTCACGTCAATGAGACACCCCCAGGCACTGGCAGAGAGAAGCTGCGCTCTTTGGCAGGGGGTTCATTTCACTCTCAGCAAACAACTCCCATATAGACAGATACGTGAGCTAGTCATACCGGCTGCCTTTCATGGGAAACTGCATCTGGCTGGAAGGGACAAAAGGAGAGGCTGAAGGATCAGCTGGAGAGAAAGAAAAACTAGAGGTAGAGCCAAGTAATGGAAACCAAGCAAGAATAACATGAGTGACAGTGCTGAAGTCAGACGAGAGGTGAGGAAGAGACAAAGAAGAAAGGACAGTTTGAGGCTTTGGCCAGGAAAAAAAAGCCACAAGTCTAAAGGTGAAAGCTGCAGGAAGAGCAGGAGACTGGAGAGAGCTGGAATGTGTTTCTTCTCAGATGCAAATCCTCTCCCATCCTACAGTTCCTAGTGTGCCGTGACCACAGGATGCCAGTTTAACAATCCCTGACAGGACTACTGACCACTGCCAGCTACTGGCAGAAACACTGGTGTTGTCTTGACTTGGTAAGATCCAGCCATCTCCTGTCCAGTCCATCAACAGAACTGGCTCTGCCTAACTGCCTAGCTCTTGAACTACAAATAAATCTAATCCTTTAGGGAGGTATATGCCAAAGGCTGAGCAATGCAGCAACTTCTGACCACTGCAGGTTTATCGAGCAGAATATGTCAGTCCTACACACAACTCCCCTCTGAGGAAAGGATTTCTGCAATGGTAGAGATGCTTTTACATTAGATTTAATCCTTTCATAGAGGAGAGAGGTAGGTGCCACCACTGATACAAAATGGTTTCCTTTGCCAAATATTCTCTTTCTGTTGGCTGCTGAAATCTATCCTTAGTGAAGCTTCACATTCAACTTCCCCCATGTAATATTTTTTAGCCATCCAGAGAACATATGAACCTTCTTAAAAGCCTAAGAGACATTCTTGATTTTCATCCCAAAATCCTTGCTGAAATGCAACTGGCTTCCCATACTAATGGAGTATCTGATGCAAGCCCACGAACACAAACAGATGGTCACATCAGTAAACAATACATCCAAGATGGTCACCATGACCAGAACAGCCCACAGTCAGGGACACTTCACGGGAACACAGACCTCCAGAGGCCTCAAGAACAACCTCCCACGCAAAGCAGGACTAGTGTCCACACATCTGCCGTTGCAATGGCCAGGCTGGAGGAAGGTCACTGCCTGGAAGGCAGGGCAGATGAAACTGGTAGCTCTGTATTGTTGATTTGTCCCAAAGATGGGCAGCTCCTCTTACCTGACACAGGGAATATTGTTTGAAATGGCAAATTTGCTGTAGATCTCCCTCTGTGACAGGAACTGATTGAGGTCTCCATTTTCCATGTACTCTGTTATCATGCACAGTGGGTCATCACGCACACACACCCCCAGAAGCCGGATGATATTTGGGTTCTTCAGCCGTGACATGATCTTGATCTCCTTCAGGAAATCATTTCTTGTAAAACAGAAAACACAGGTTCAAGCCCTAAGCCATTCCTTTGTCCAAGGAAAGCAGAAATGTCACGTAAGAAAATCTCAGTTCAGAGACATTTACATTTCTGCACACAGAAAGTTTGATGTGTTTGTGTTCAACGTTGACCCCTTCCCCAGCAAACAGGATTAACACAGCACTTCAGTTTGACTTTATCTCTGTTCCTATCCCCCACTCCAAGCTTGTGTCCTGTTCCTTACATGAACACAGAGAACATACACCAGAGACACGACACGCACTTACAGAAGTCACCAGGGTTAACCTATGTGAAACTTGCTTGGAGAGTATTTGCTTTCCTTCCCAGATGGTCGGCATCGCGGATCCGCTTACCTGGCCGTTTTGTTGACATCTGATCTCAGCATTTTCACTGCTACGAGAACCGGCTGGTGAGTGAATTCTGTAGATGAGACTCCCAGGAATTCCAGCAGGCCATCGGCTTCACAAAGGTGCACCTGCAGGGCAGAAGGCAGAGGCAACGATGAGAGCATACACAGGCAGAAAACCAGAGTAAAACGATGTCACATGGAGGTCACCAGTTTGGTCACTGCTGGCAGAATGACCCAGTGAACGATCTAACGAAGGTGACACTGTTCCGATCAGAAATAGCCCATAGGCTGGCCCTAGATACTGGGCAACACGTGTACATACACCACAGCTCAGGCCGTGGGTGGCAGCCTGACGTGTCCCCAACACACCGAATTTACTGCACGCCTGCAGACGGGTGTAGCAGCCTACCAGGGCAGTCCAATTCACCCAGCAAGTACTGGAGATGTGCAGGAAGGGTACTGTGCCTGGAGCTGTCTGCTGCACTCTGCTCGGGCATGCAAACGGCACGGCTGCAGCAGGGCTGGCAAGGACAGCACATCGCACCAGCCGTACAAGTCCAGAACTGTCCTGCAGCCTGGCTTGGGTCACCACTGAGGAGCATCCAGGAATGACAGACAGCTATCCAAAGTCTTCTAATTCTAGAAAAAAAAGTGTGCATGTGTGTGTCCATGTGAGTGTTATGTGAACACCTCAGCTGTGAATATACCCAGAGACGAATACTGTGATGAGTGCACAGAATTCCAAGTTTCTTTAGATAAATAAATGAATGAAGACATAAAATTACTGCCAGGTATAAGAAGGGGTGACAAGGCACTTGCTTAAGAAGTTATCTGAATGCATATTCAAATGGAGAACTGGGCAAGAGATGCTCGGGTGGGAAAGGAAAAAAGGACTGGAGGAAGGGAGCAGACTGGATGTGTCAGTCAAAGACTTGCAGCAGTGAGGGGAATGTAATGGGAGCTTAATGAATTTTATATGAAGAAAGCAGCAAGAACTTGTGTCACAAGCATGGTGAGGAGAAAAAGGAGACAGCATAGAAAACAGCACAAATCCACAGAACAGAAACAGAAGTACAAAGGTGCTGCTGCAGCTACACGGAGAACGAAACCCGCTGTGGTGAAAGTACAGTCATGAGGACGAGGAATAGCAACGGGAGCCACAGGACCAAGCACATGTATTATAAGCACAGGCAATGTGTCACTGAGTCCAGGGAGTGGATGGTTAGGAGCAAGGAAGGAAAAAGATTGAAAGGGAAGGAAGCTCTGAGTGGAGGGGTGAAAAAAGCAATGAGCCATATTTCTAGAAGCAAGACTGCACACTAAGCCAGAGCAGAGGAGCAGAGCATATGATGATGACCAGTTTGGCAAAGACTAAGGCGGTGAGAAGGTGAGATGGGAGAATGCGATGCAGCACATTTGCAAAAGTGAGGGGAAGAGCCTGTGATGGGAGGAAAGGACCAGGCTCTGAATCAATCTCCAAGGAAAATGGAGGAGATGAGAGCGCCTGGCTGCTGCTGTTTGACAACACAAAGGAGGAGGAGAGAGCTTTGACAGTTATTAGAAGGACAGGAATGAGAAACCAGAAGCAAAACAATAAGAAAAAAGCCTCTCTGTTTCACTGTTGGAGCACACCTCAAGAGAGGGCAGGATCCAGGCAACAGCAGAAGGGGGTTAATTGATAGCCAGGTGAAGAGGCTGAGCATGTCAGCACCTTCCCAGTACACAGAGTGATCCAGAAAGAAGTGAGGGGGACAAGGAAGGCACTGAGGTAGCCAAGGTGTGCTGTCAGAAGCAAGGGACTATAAAGATGGGCACATCACAGAGGAGGAGGCAGCCAGTGAAGGGCTGCACTTTGCCAAAATGTAGTAGACAGGTAGAATTTAAGGCTGCGAGTGAGCAAAAGCTGGGAAGAACAAAAGAGACAGATGACAGATGTATGTATCATGCTGCCTGAGGCTTCTGACACAAACTGGGGCTTGAGCAAGCAGCAATCCTAGAGACTACATGAGGGCATCACAGTCCTTGGGAAATGTCTGTCTTTGCTTGGGTCAGCATGCAGAGCACCACCAGAACCTCCATCTGTCAATGGAAAGCTGTTCTTACAGCTAGGATCAATCTGTCCTGGCTGGAGTCACTGCTAGAGTTTTCAAACTCACACGGCCTAAAGGCAGGTGAAAGCCATGAGCTGTCCATGGAAGACCATGAAACAGTTTGAATTCCCACCCCTAGGCCTTGTCTATAAGGTCATAAACAGGGATAAAGGCAGTGAACAGTAGAAGTTTGCGAAGTTCATCTGTTGAGAAAGACTCGGGTGGTACCAAGCAGCAGCCTCACAGGTGCAGAATGGGGCTCCCTGAAGCCCATCCTAAGGGACACCAGCTTTCCCCAACAGCAAAGACCTGTATTAAATACAATACAGGTAAGCAGAACCCTCAGCCCACAAGTACAAAGTGGTGCCAGAGAGGCAGCTCAGAAGATTCAGCTCTGCCAGGCATCTCCTTTCCGTTGCAGGAAAAGTGGAAGAGAATGGCCGTACCTCTCCAAACTGTCCTTCTCCCAGCTTCTCTTTGAGTCGTAGCTGCTGCCGCGGGAATTCACCCACCGAGATGTCCTTCTTGGTAAGCGAATCCACAGTGAGGGCTGGCACTGCATACATGTTGTTGCCTGTCACACCTTGCAGGTGGACGATATCTGTTTCAGCGTAGTGAGGGACATTGTTCTGAAAGCCTTGGTGAGGAGTGGACTTGGTCAGGTCGGGCTCAGCATAGTCCCCGCTGCACACTAAGGGGATACCAGAGACAGTCAGACACATGCACTCCCTTAAAACCAGTATGGCCCAGCTTCCACTCCTCTCAATCCTGCAGACCTCTGGGAATCCAGCCTAGCTACACGCGTACTACCTTGTATCAAGGTACACCCAGACGGAAGACTCTGCTTTGTTTTAACCAGGGCTTAAACCAGAACAAGCCGCACTTCTGCGGACACCAGAACACCCGTGAGGTACCAGCGAACCCGTGTTGAACAGCCCTGCTCTGTCCAGTTATGAGAGCTGAAGGTCTTGCCCAGACAGGGAGGCATGAGTCTGAAGTGATTTTCTGTTTCTGATTCATCCTAAATACGATCTGTTCCCCTTACCTGGTGCAGGGACGTTGTTTGCAATGTCAGCCTTGCTCTGGATTCCCTTCTGCAACAAGAACTGATCGAGGTTCCCATTTTCCATGCTCTGTTAGCATGCTCTGCTACCTCTTATGGCTTATTCACATAAACATCATGGGATAACGCCTTATAATTAACTACCTGTACGGTCAGCATGACACAGAACATTTGTTCTGCTTCAGGTTCACATCCTGACTCAATCCAAATCACTCTTCTTGTGTAGTGAAATGCTGGATCTCAGCAACTTGTCAGTGCTTGAGGAAGGCAGCACTGCCCTTCCATTCACTAATCAGCCCTGCCATCACCGAATACAAAATACTGTTCGAAATGTTCCCTTCCAAAATCTCCCCAGGGCCTGGAAGCCAGGGCACCACTGGCGATTCTCTGCTGCATTCCCCTCTGCTTTTTCTAAGGGAATTTCAAAGAGCCCTTGCTGCAAGAAAAGGTGCTAAAGGTCTCCAGCAGCCAGTCTGGACAGCCCAGGAGTGCTGCAGGCAGCGACTCCACTGCCAACAGGCTGATGAGACAAACGACGTGCAATTGCTGCGATTGCCAAAACCAGCTCCTAAAAGATGACCCGGCTAACGTATAAACGCAGTCTCCAAAGAGAACAATAAAAGGCCACCACCCTCTAGTGGGGCTCCTGTTCCATCTGCCAAGGTTACATGCTAAAAAGTTTTAGAGCTCCACAGTATTGTCTTCGGGCTCTGGGTTAGTATTGCATTGCATACGAGTCATTACTTAGACACTGAGAAGCGGCACATTTTAAAATCTGAGAGAATTAATAAAACAAATACGTAACTTCTAGAGACTGATGGTTACATTACCTGAATCCTCTGCACTTTGGGAGAGCTCTGGAAGCTTCTGGAGCAGGGTAGCTGGCTGGTGATATTCCAAATCCAGTGGGAAAGCACGTTCATAGGTGGGATTTGACTGGTGGATCTGGGTCTGGTTGTTGGCAATGGTGTAGCTGTAGAAGGAGAGGCGAACTGTGGCATCCTCCTCCAGGATTCGACGTGGGGCCTGCAAAAGAGAAGGAAAAAAATGCTGAGGCAATACTTGTTAAGTAATGTATTGGCTGCAACCGCAGCAATTTCCAGTAACATCTTGGATAGGGCTGGTATCCCCCCCTGCTGCGAGAACAGAGTTTTAGCTACTCTGTGGAGCTGCGGAAACCCCGAGCTTCCCACAATTCTGAGCACATAAGGGTTAACGCTTAGTACTGAACTATATAAAATAGCCCCACTGTACTACCTTTTCCAACCTTTTTTGTACATATTGCTTCCAAAGAATAATGATGATAATCATCAGGAGCAGAAGAATAATAGCCACAAGGCAGCCCACGAGGATGGAGGTATTGGAGTCATCTGCTTTCTCTCCTATCCAGGTGCTGGTTACAGAAGATGTGGTTTCTGCAATCACAGAGGAATGAAGAAGAATCTGGGAGTTAACAAAGCACAGGTTGTTATCTGGGCTGGCGAACTTCCTGCACGTCCCTTCCCACAGTCTGGAACAGAAAAGATCTTAGGCAGCTTCTTGAGCATCAACACTGGCTGTGTTCAACATTTTGCTCTTATCAGAAGTTCTCACTTTGGAGGCCTGCAGCTAAGAACTGCGCAGAGGACTTCTGCAGTCAAAGGCTGCTCTTAGCATTGGAAGAGATTCCTGCAATGGATCCATACTAGAGCAGTTTTCAGTTTCTCTGGCTGCACACCTTCAGCCCACTTGCTCTGAGGCTGCCTTGGCCAGCTGAGGGAAGAAGGAATAGCTGAGGCTCGGAGGACTGTAAGATGCAGCCCTGTGCATGAGGGCAATAACCAGGCCATAGCTGGAACTCCAGGAATGGAGGGAGAGACCACGTTAAACAGGACGTTACCGTGAAATCCCCCAACACTTGAACCCTTGGCATGGTTAAGTGACAGCAGTCCTTACCCCAGGTTCCCTCAGTAACGTTGCACTCTGTTTCCAGGAGATCCGCCGTGCTTGTGGCTACCGTAACGAAATTAGGGCTCACGCTCTCCATGTCTGCGGAACAGAAGCGAAGCTGTCAGTCCAACCACCAGCCTCCCTGCTCCTGCCAGCGGTCAGCGCAATCCCAACCACCACCCCCCGCCTTCCCAAGCAGGACAGGGCTGAGGCCCACGTGGCAGGTCACGAACGGTGTGAGCAGAGATACTTGCTCACTCAGCACCTCTCAGCACCCCTGCAGGAACGAGCCCCCGTGTTGAGCAGCATGTATGCCCTGACCACAGCAAACTGCCCATGGGTCTAGGACACTTCCTGAGCTTGGCCAGACACAGGGGACTGGAGCAAGAGCTTTTTTTCCATTTTAGCTTGATTATAAGAATCACCATCCCAGGCTAGACCAAGAGTCTGCCGAGTCCCACATGTGACAGAGGGTAGCCAGGAGGGGTTGCTATCAGCAAGATGAGCAACAAGCTGCAATCAGAGCATTCCTTCCCAGGAATGTCCTCTCACTATAGCTGACTAGGAAGCTATAGCCAGATCATTTCCCTGTCAATGCTGGTGGTTCACTCTTGTCCATTCTCTTCTAGAGCCTTTTAAAGCACTTCATGGCACTGACTTCTGTGTCATAGTTAAGACTTGAGGAAAAAAACAGTCAGCCTCTTATTTTTCATGATCTGCTAACTTGATCATCATCTGTAGCTATGCTTAAATTATTCACAACAAAATACTTGGTAAACAAAAGTAAAAATCAACCCCATAACCAGCAGACAACTGTCTCAAAAAGAAGTGCTCTATAGTCCCATTTTTGTTTGCCCTGGTTGTGCTTCCACGCCTGTGCATCAGTATCAGCCTATAAAGCATCCACTGTAGACTGGACCCTCCTCCCCCTGCATTGTCCTTCCACCCCACAGTGCCCTACACTCCTTTTGACCCCACGTCCTGCACCTCCACAATATCTCTTTCGCTCTCTGTGCTTTGCCAGATCTGCTTGACTGAAGGAATACTCACCCGACTGGAAGGAAATCTCACTCATCATCATCCAGGTGTCAGCAAAGTAGAAGCGGCAAAGTATGGCTTTACCTACACGCTGATTGAGGGGGACAGTCACAAACCTAGCGCTGGGGTTTTTGTCATCTAAGACAGTTGCCACCCCAACAGGTTCAGACTCCCAGTCTGCAATCAGGCGTGGTTTGAACAGACACTCCACCTTCTGGAAGATCTTCACCCCCTTGGAAAACATGTTGTTACAATGCACCTAGGAAGAAGAGAACAGATCAATCAGACAGGAGGAAGATTTACTGAAACCTAAATTAAGCCTCAGGGATTTTCTGTTCATGAAGATTTTCTATTTCTGAGATATCCCTGCATGAATACTCCTAACCCAGGACAGGTGACTTGTTCCAGTACAGCTCAGTACAGTATGCAATGAGAGCACTTGTGCAAAAAGTTACTCTGAAACATCTCTTAACTTTACATGCAAAAGCTATATTAATGGTTAAGTTTTGGCAGGCTCTTCAAAAGGCCCATATGAAAATCAATCAAACCAAGACTATACTAGTTTAAAGCCTCTTGGAGCAATTCTCCTTGAACACATATCCTAAGAGGGAAAAGAAAAGCCACACCTGGGCTCTAGCCTCTTTCAGAAAGCCTTCAGCATCTGCAGTCTAAGCTAATTTCTTCCAAAAAAAAGAAATGGTACAAGCTCAAGAAGATACCCTCTGACATACAGCAGCTCTTCTGCTGTGGTTGCACCTTGAGGACAACTGAGGAACTAAGTTTTAAGAAAACCAGCATGTAAGCCTGCATCCATCAGCCTCTCCTGGCAACTCATCATCAGGTTTCCTTGCTGCAATGGCACCCCTGGTTTAGCTAACGATGCTGGATTTTAAGCTGCGGTCACTATGCTGCCAAGCTAACACCTCACCAAAACAAAGGCATCCTCTCACCTCTGAGTTCAGCTCCACACAGTCCGCTTTCAGACTACGTGGTTTGCAAACTGCTTTCAGGCTGACTTCACACCTCCGTGTTTGGGAGGTTTGTTTCACCTTCCCAAAAGCTGGTGGCAAGTTTCCCCCCAACTGCTCTTGGGCTGCACCCAAACCAAGAGGCTCCAGCACAAAAGTGACATCTCCATCTCCCTGGGTTGGGGCACTGCAGACCCATCAACACCAAACACCCGGCACTCTCCCAGCCCTCCAGCACTTCCAAGGAAGCACGCTTCATGAAGAGGGACAAGGCTTGTAAGGATCCCTTACGCTGTTCCACTGTCTGTCTTCAATGCAAATCTTGCCCTGCGTCTGTTTAAACAAACCAACCTGACAGCTGACGTTCTGCCATGCACTCCTGAAGATCTGGACCACAGTATCTTGGCACTGTGGCTGGCGACCAGGAACCAAAAGGAACAAGGTGACCCTTAAAGTCTTTGGTACGCCTCAGTCCACTCCATTTTCATAGGCATGGTGGTTCGACCCTCCCTAGCGACTCTCGAAATTATTTCCTAATGACTGTGGACTATTAGCGACTGTGACAGCCACTGTCTCCGAACCAAGCACAGCTCTGAACCCTATTAATTGCTTGGCCTCTGCAAGGTCTTGCAGTAAATAGCACTGAAGCAGTAATGAGGACAACAGGCCTGATGAGCAGTAAAAAGACAAAAGAAGGGTATTTGCATATAATTAGGAACAGATGAAGCTTAGACAACATTATTCAATAAGGAGAATAGTCATCTATAACAAGGCAGGAGAGCCCAATGCCTGCAATATACAATTTGTGCCATATTTGGACAGGAGTTGGATATGTCTCCATCTTGGACTGATACAGAGACACTTCCTATTCCAAACACCACCTACTGAACTCCAATTTTATTATATGCAAACCTAAGTAATTTGCAATGCAGTTGCAGTATTTGATAACATTTATTTTTCATACTTTCCTGGATACTGGGTAAGTTCAGAAGACTGGGATAAAGCTAACAGGTATGAAGATACAAGAAAATATTTACAGACTACCTAGCCTGTACAAAATAAATGCAAAGCTGAAACAGGCAACATTCCACAAACAATGAAGAATAATTTATGCTAATCAATACAGCTTCATAATGAAATACTAGAAGTAGCTATTTTTATGAGCTTATGTGTTTGGTTGATCAGGGTGGCTGTGTTTACGTGACAGACTTTTGTAAGGCGTTTGATTTACTCATAACATCTGACTCCAATTAGCAGAGTACAAACTCATGAATTATATTAACCTGATGAAAAATTGTCAACTAGTAAGTCTTATAAATTTTAAGGCACAAATCCTTCTCTGAATGTTTTTGTAACAGGAAAGTATTCCTAGCTCAAGGTTATTTGCTACCTTCTTCAATGATCTGAAAGAGACAGCAGGATCACTAGCAATAAAAGAAATTAAATAAGGGGAAAAAATAAATCAAAGTTTCCTAAAATAAATAGGGGAAAAATAACAAATCAAAATTTCCTAAAATAATCTGAAGTTTTCAGGACTGACTCATTTCAGGGTAGTGAACTTGGGAACAAAACATAAGTGATGCTTTTTGTAGACTGGACTTTTATCCTGAACACTAATAACTTTGAACAGACTTTCAGCATGATACCAAAGTCTTAATGAACACGGGCTCCCTATCCCTTGGCTAGGAGGAGTAATATGATCACAAGATTCATAAACGAAGAAGAACTGTCGAAAAGTAGGAAATTGGTACCATTCTTCTACGCAATTTGATGGAAAGCCCGCATCCAGTTCCAGTTTCTATACCTCCAAAAGAGTACTGGCAACGAAAAAAAAAGGATTGGAAGGTAGCTACAGAAATGACCCTGGATGTCACACAGAAGGCACTGAGAAGTTCAGCCAACTTAGTTTACTGAAGCAAAGATTAAGAGAGTGATTTAATCACAGTGTAGAAGCAGGACAATTTCTGAGAAGGCAGGACTCTGATTTTTGCCAGCGAGCGCAGGCTAAGAGCCAACGGTTGCAAGTTAAAAATAGACAAAATAAAACTAGGGTAAGTAACCACCAAAACAATTTACTTAAGGATGTGGTGGGTTCTCCTTCATTTGAAACCTCTACAAGAAAAGCCACCAATCCTTTTTAAAGGATTCTGCTGTTTACTACAGACTCAAAGTTCAGCTCACCCTTCTCCTGTGTTTAAGTAACTTCCCACAGCACAAGCACAGATTGGAGGCATCCAGAGAAATTTTTGGTCAAAATGGAAGCACAACCACATTCCTTTACTTCAAGGGTCAGGCAGCCCCTAGACAGTAGGTAGCCTACATCCTAAATTCATCTCAGCTGCCTAACCACTGCTTCAGGTGGTTAGACAAATACTGAAAGGAGAGTGTCTGAGCTCTGGAGAGGCAAGCGCTCCCCTGCTTCACCTTTCTACATTGGCAAACTTGGGACATCTGCTCAAATTCTGCCTATGGTGGACTGTGCTGTCAGGCACCTTGTATCCTGCTGCTTTGGGAAAAGGACCCAAAGAAGCAATCTGGAAGACCCAGACCCAAAAGCCTGCCCCAGGCTTGGAGAGGGACAACGCTGACTACCTTCATGGAGGTGAAGTTCCGTGGTCGGTCAAACTGGAACTCCATTTCAACAGAGCCTGTGCTGAAGCTCTCATTCTTCCAGCCAACATAGTCATAGCCTGGCCACACGCGGTACTGGTGGCTCTGTGTGAAGTCATCCAGTCCCAGCACTCCGTCCGTCAGCTGGCCCAGACCACCGTACAAGTGCCTAGCAAGAGAGAACCAACAGTTAGGCAGAACACCAGCCGGGAGAGCTCAGATGTGAATGCACATGGGTCCTTCACCCAGTACCAGGAAAACATTAGTTTATTTAGTCTCAACCCATCCCGGACAAGAACTCATTCCCTGTTCTTATGCAGCATCACTTTTCTTTTGTTTGGGCTGGGTGTTTACAGTCTTTCACTGCTTGGGAAAAGGCAGAACTTCTTGCATTGACAGCAAAGCCAAGCTACGAGCAGAGTCTCTTGAGAACAAAAACTGAGACTATAGAAAATGACACTGTATGCTCTCCAAACAGAGAGCTTTAATTGCAGCATTTCACCATGGAGCTGCGTGTCCTAGGGGAACCAGCGGGGAAAGTTTTGCAGGCTGGCACAGAAAAGCAGGAAAAAGAGCAGCAAGACCATGGGCAGCTCACCCAACCACAGCCAGTTCTAACTGGGATCACTCCTGGCATTGCTCCTTGTGCAAGAGGAGAGCGTTACTTGGCTCCATTTCCGAGGCTGATCAGACTCTTCACCCAGGACCCTGCCTCATTCCACGTCCTAGCTGAGTGTGCAGAGCCCACTATGCTGTTTCCAGCACTGTGCCAGAGTAGGAAGTGCCAGATGTGATACACTCCTGAGCCCCCGCCTGCTGGGAGCCAGCCCTGGCACGTACCTTGTCCTATAGCAGGAAAAGTGCAAACAGTTTGGCTGTATTTGTGTCTGAACTTGCTCCCTGGACCTGTTTCACTCAGCTGCCTCTAGGCAGTCTTTGTAACCCAGGCTGGGCTGCTACATACACTGAAGCTCTGCAAGTCCATTCCAGGTGAGCCCTCCATCACTAGCATTTGCACAGGTATGCATGCCTTTGAACTCCACAGCAGGATTAACAGCTGGAAGAGGCAGGCTCCTGCCTCCAGGCCAGTCAGGCACCTGACCTAGAGGTTAAGTATCATGAAAGAGTCCTTGCTTAGCACGTGGAGCTTTGTGCCTACATCTGTAGCTCCCTGACACTCCCCAGCAGACCCAGCTTCCTAAGCTAGTGCTGGACAGCCAAAAGCAACACCTACATCTTTCTGCACATAAATCCCCCCCTTTTTTTTTTTTTAATATCCAATTCCTTCTCTATCAGTGCAGCTTAAAAGCATCAGATATTAATGCAAAAAGACATTGTTACCCAGTATCTTGCAACATCCTACAAGCATGAAGAATGTACTTTCCACTCCGTTATTTTAACCTCCAGCACAGTAGAACAGAAATAAGTTTACAAAAACAATCTCTAAGCATAAAAAAATTTTAAGTAACAGTAAAAATTTTCAGGAAGTTAATGACTGAAACAGGACATATAGTAAAAGCACCTTAAGTCAATGGATGACACCAGGTCACTAAAGAGATACTGTCTGATCACTTATTAGGCACATTCCTGCAGAGGCAGGGATACGCTGCCTCAAGAGGATACCCATGCCCAAGTTTGTCTGCGGTTTCAAGTTATTGCTATAAATACAGATTTGAGTGTGTTGTAAAGAAAGCGGTCACACTAAGTTTCTGAAAGTTCAGCCAGTTACTTAACATTTCAGATACAGACTCTTAATGAACTCTCTTTCCATGAGCATCAACTATTGAGTAAACCAGAGACACCTTAAAATGTCAATAACATGCCACCCTACTTAACTGAACCCAGCGATGTGAAAAATTAACAGACCTCGTAACGAGCTGTCAAAATCCAGTTACTTTAGGCTTTTTGACTCCAAATTGGAAAAGCATCATACCCAAGAAATCTTTACAGTGAGCAATCAGCCACTTCCTCTCATACCACATTGGTAGTGGTGCCTCTGCTGATCTGGAGCCTCTCACAGGGAGTGATGCAGTTTTCCAAGTTGTTTCAAGTCCATCAGAGCTTTGTTCTCAAAAACAATTATCTCAAATCTGTCCAGAAGCTCACAGGTATCAAGCGCAGGCCTAGAGTTCAGGTGTTGCGCACTTTCCCGGACGCCCCGTCTACCCTGGAGACCTCCTGCAACAGTTTAAGATGCAGTCTGCTAGGGAATGCATTTCAGATATCAAACTGCAGAAGCAACAAAGGCAACGAAGAGGGGAAGGACCTTCATCTGCTCCAGGGACACCGGGACTGCACAGGTAGAAGGTCCAGCCAGCTCTCCCACTCCAATCTGGGGCAACACGAGAGTAGAAGCACCTAACTATCTGCAGTGTCAATGACAGCTTAAGGCTGTACCTGAACCAACAAAGAAATCCGTGCAATGAATAGAGTCACAGTTAGAGCCAAGAACGACGAGGGCTTTAAGGCAGACACATCAGGACTGTGTCATCATGCCATGTACAGATAGAAGCTATGAACAAAGACAGCACTTAGCTGTATAAGGACACGCTCTTCTCTTTAGAGAACCAACAACAACTTCCAACAACAAAAACATTATTTCTTTCCTGTCAGCCTTTGTCAGCTGGGGGAGATGAAGCTGATAAATCCTGAGCCCATGCCCTCATTTAAAAGAAAACTAACAATGTGTCAAAGGGCCTGGAATAACGAAGCCACGATGCTTGGAGAACTGGTAGGCTAGCTTGCAGCTCTGGAGGTCTCAAAGATGATGCTTGGGACACAAGACACTAGTGACAGGGTAAGTAGGAAAGAAGAGATAACTGCACAGTGACCGAGAGAGAACAGGACGACTTCTCCCACCTGCGCTCCTGGTAGCCATCATAGGTCGAGTCATTCAGATAAACGATGGGGAAGCCAGGAGCCGCTATTGTCCCTCCTTCAGGGATGCTATAGGATGCCAAACCATCTAAAAAAAGAAGGCCATATACCTCAGAAATATAGCAGCAGCAGCCTTCCATCATCTCTGTCCATATGATCCTTTTACTTATGATGTGGACCAACAGAAGCAGTTCCATGGGCCTGGGATTCCCTCTGCATACGTGGGGACGCAGGTGAGTCCCAGTTAGCGTTGTGTAAGGACTACTTTCCAGTGACGGGCATGAAAACTGCTACTTACCATACCACACACAGCCATAGAGCTCCACCCTCATACAGACAGTCATCGGCATCTCTGTCACAGGAATCACCCGGATAAAGCGTGCAATGATGGGAGGCCGAAGATCTTTCAAGACCACGTCATAAGTATCGATGTTGCCTTGGATCACCTGGAGAAGACAGAGGCTTACCAGCAACTTCTCCCTGTTGTGCTGTTCATTTGTGCAGGGGTGTACTTGTACCCTATCATTTGAGACCAGGAAGCTTTCCCACACAGTATCTGCACAGGGTCAGCTGCTGCTGCTCCCCTCCTCCTACCTGGTACATGGCTTACAGGGTGAAGGGTGCTGCCATTTCACCTCCTGTCCACTGCAGACCCGTACCAGGCAGTACTCTGAGGGAGAGGAGAAAGGCAGGTGGGAGATGAGTGTACATGTGGACTACATGTTGCAGAGAGCTCCAGTTGCTAGCACATAACCTCTCTTTCAAGTGAGTCTCCATGCACATTCTAACAACAGGTAACTGAGCACCTGCCCTCATCACTAGTTACCTGGTGGAGAGTCACGATGTCCTTTCTCCATAAGCCAACAAAATTCCAGAGGTGCTGCAGTGTTTGAGGAATGAAGGTGTAAGGAACTGCACAGCAGATGTCTTGAACGGCAGTGTTCAGCATTGCCACAGTGACCCCATTCTGCTGAAGTGCAGGCTGACATGGCAAGGACTTTCACCCTCCCCTTCCCCTCAGTTCCACTATGGTTCTGGGAACAGTCCACTATTTATCTGGACAGTCAGTGTGTGGAAACAGCTGAAGCTGTCAATCCCCCAGCAGTGGACACAGAGTGCCAAGGAGATTTTTTTTTTTTTTAAAGGAGTTGGACCTACGGAAACAAAATAAGAACATTTTTGATATCAAAAGTCTGAATTAGAAGTGTGAGGGCTCCTGTTCAAAGATTCTGTTGGTGGGAAGGATTAGTCAGAGGCTGAGGTTACTCAAAAGACCATGTAGATTGCAATTATTGATGAACAGGCAATTTAAAAGATGAGGGAGGCCAACAAGGGAGCAGAAAGGTGGCTGCCTCTTCATGGCAGCAGGGAAGATCTCCAGAGAGCGAGTGTGGCTGAGGAGTCCATTGAGAGGTGAAAGACCTTATTGTATCACAGAAAGAAACACTCAGAAGACTATCTCCCTGAAGAAGAGCCAGCCACATCTGGTGGTCTACTGGACTGCACTAGGAGAGCTGTGAAACAGGTTCCTGCACCTGGCTGGACAGCTCTACAAAGGTGCACAGTCCCAGGAGCTGACCACGGAAAACCGAAGGAAAGCCAAGAGGTAAGCTCACTTCCTCGTTCTCTTCAGCTCCTCAACAGGCCATTAATCTGCAGCTTCTTAATATTTCTCTTCCTAAGAGAAACACCCATGACTTCTTCTAATGAAGCAGGGACATATAAGTAAATCTTGTCTTCAGGAACCAAGTGACAGCGATTAACCCTTTCAGCTGTCAGATGGGCTTCCAGCAGACCTAGGCTGGCTCCACAAGACCTTGCCGATAGGAGATAAAACCAAAGAGGAGACAGCATATGGCAGAATATCCACATCTTCATCACAGAAGTTGGACAGATCCTCTGGAGTTGACCATTTGTTAGGAAATCTCTGAGGTGGCAGCTAAGTCAAACCAAAAAGTCCTAGATGGACACAGTGCTGGACAGAGTAAGAGGAAGAAAGCTTCAGGCATCCCTCTCAGAAAAAGGTACCTTTGCACCAGCTCCATAGTGGAAGAGCTGACATTTTTGCCTGTCCTGGACAGACATCTTTTAAGAGAAGCAAAAGAGAAGACGCATTTTGCGTAGCACCTCCACAAGGTGGGGTTGCTGCTATTGAGCACACAGTTTCTCAGGGCCAAAAAACCCCAAAGTGTCTGTATGTGGAACAAAGTCAGCATGTTTCCAGTCCTGGCCACTACTGATGCCAGTGTTCCCAACATCAAGAATGAAGTGGTGCTGCTGGCAAACAACTGTAGGTGGCCGATACCAGAAGCTGACAAGGGATCAGGACTTAACAGTGCTGCGTCATGCAACATTAATGCCAATGGAGAGGACCATCCTTAACTAATGTCTGAAACAAGGGAGCACCAATTTGACTCTGCCTTTACTGAGCAAATTAAAGCTGGACGTGACTTTCCTGGTGAGAAGCAGCGTGCATTACATGTCTGAAACCCAGCAGCATGTGAAGGGCTTTGTTTGGAGGTTTTTTTTGACGGAAACCATTTGTGTGACCCCCTTGGACAGAGACATGTCAAGATGGGCTCATGCAGTCACACTGAAATATCACTGATTGGGCATCTGTCAACTGCAGGACTGGAAGAGGCCTCCTTACCACATACAAACAAGTAGATTAGGATCTTGCACCTCCATCTGCACCCTCACTCCAAGGTCTGAATGATTACACAGGACATTTTAACCAAATTATTTGACCAGACAGCAGTGCTTCTGAAACACAGATTCACTGATAGAACATGCCCCTTTTATTGGTAACACATTTTGAAAGATACTTTCATGGAAAGTCATTTTTCAGAGGAGCTGAAATGGCAGAACTTGCACCCCATTGTGTATGTGCAGAACAGCAGGAGCAGAGGAGCAGAACCATCTTCTCTAAGGACACCAGCAGGGAAAACTTTTTGGTCTCTTGCAAGGGGGAACAGGTACACACCCTGACAGAATGTATATGGACTTCCACATATACAGAACAGAGCATGGCTCAAATTATAGCAGCACACACCGCTGATTACGTGCTCGTTACCTCATTATGGCCTGAGAGAGATCTTGCAAAAATTGACCTATACTAAATTGTAACACCCAACACTAACACAGTCCTGAGTGCCTGAGAACACTGCTCTGCACAGGACTGGGGTGGGAGATAAGGGGCATTTTAGCTGGTCACACACAGCGTAACCAACTGAGTTGTGGTATAACTCAGGCTGCACCTAAGGAAGTACTGACAGAGAGCAGTTAGCCCCATGGAGTTTAAACTTCCCCTCCCATCCTGCAAACACAGCATTCGTAGCATACACCAAAATGTGAGGGATGGGCAAGATAACGGCAACAGCCAAACAGCTGATTAAAGGTTGGAGCAAGCAAATAATTAACAAGCTACAAGCTATTACCTAATACTGCAATACAGACCCCACTGTGACTTCAAAGCACCCCCAGTGCAAGAAAACATCATCGCACCCAGTACCTTTCTAGTCTGGCTTAGGTCTTCAGACTCCACAAGCCAGCCTGAGGCAGGGTGATCAGGTCAGACAAGCTGCAGACGAGAGAAGGGGATCCCTTCCCAGGGGAAGCTTAACAAAGGCTTATGAACACGACCAGAGCACAACCAGTGCTGAGCTGTGTGCTCAAGTCTGGAGACAGCAGCAGGCAACTGTAGTGAGCAGGGAAGTCTCTGAGTGTGTGTGCTCAGCACATTTCCTACCCCCTAAACTCCTTCCTCCTCATTACTCCCTACATTGAACACTGCTATCGGACATCCAGAAACTCATCTCCATTCCCTGCCACCCCCTCCCTTTTTTTAATCACAAAGCAGACATCTGCTTTGCAGCTTCCAATTTAGAAGCAAGTGTATGGCTGGTAGAGGGACATTCACATGATGTTTTGAACATGGACAGAGGTAGTGAAGAGCCACACTTTTCAGTCCCAACAATTGCTGGGATTTGGGGCATCAGGTCAGCAGAATAACAGTCCAACATGACAGCAAATACATGACTAAGGCAAAGGACACTTAATGCCTGACAGAGAAGATAAAGGATGCCTGACAGGAGGAAGTATGATGCACTAAGCAGTACATAGAGGACATGCCTTCTACAGTCCAGTTCTCTGACCTGACTTCTGTGTGCTCCACCATTCGGTTGCTGCTACACTCACCTTCCTGCCCTGGCGATCTTTCCAGGAGATCCAGCGCTCTCCATTGCGGCTATAGTCAAGGCGGTAAGCACGGGCAAATTCTTTGCCTGTGGCACGGGCATGCCGTCCCTGAGTCCCAATCAAGGTGACGAAAAAGAGCTTGTGCAGGTCAATTTGAAGGAATTGTACATCTTCTGGTTGCAACAAGCCAGCCGGGCACCAGGCTCCATCCCCCTCTTCCCTTTGTAACCTAAGGGGAAAACCACACACATTAAAAAACCATCACTTCGAAGGATCTAGCCTTCCCAGTAACTGAGGAAACACCTTGAAACTTGGAGAAAGAAACCAAATCCGCAAGTGAGACCTGACAGCTGGCTATCAAATACCTCTCCCCTTCGGGGTGATGGTCGATTTAGACTTGGAGTCCTGTAGTCACTTTTCCCCTGTTCAGAACAACTCCCCCAGTTGAAGGTATCTTGCATTAACTGTTAGAAGTAATTTCTTTCCCAGACACACGCTTTCATGTTGATCAGAAACAACGATGCTACTCGGTAGGTAATTGCATACTGCATGCTTTTTACCACGTTGCTGGTAAAGTGCACGCATACTCCTCCTAAACCCCGTACAATAAGGCCTGAACCTCTGCTTGACCACCTCCTACAGCTCTAACAAGTACAAAGAGGAGCTATCTTAAAAACACATTTTAGAAAGAAAAGCTCTGCCCATCTACAAATCATTCTGGGTCACCTCAACACATCTTTCACATTTCCTTCATTCATCAGAGCTGCTTGTGCAGGACACTGCTAGGTGTACAATGTGAAGATCTCCAAAGTTGAATATGATGGCACCAGCTGCAAAGATTAATGCTTTTAACCTTGGACACTGCATGCTGAGCAGAGTGCTGTAGCCATCAGCAGGTGGAGCCACTAAAGGAAGCCCTGCCTTACCCAAGCTTCTGTAGGCTCAGCTACAAGGTGGTGAGAGAGTTTTAAATGTGAAAAATGTATCCAGGCACAAAAAGACCATGTGGGCTTTTCAGCAACAGGGATTTCTTAGCAAACAGCCAGCCCTTCCAGTGGTCTTGTCTTTCAGACTGCTATCCCGTCTCTACCTGATGGCACCGGTGAGCGTCAACCCCAGTGCATCAAGGAAGGCAATACCCAGAAGGAGACACTGAAGGTCAAGGCACAGGCTGGAGAAGATTTTTGTCTCAGGTTGGTCAGCTGTTTGTGCAAGACTTTTATGATGAAGTGGCAAGTAAAAGAGGTTGTAAGAAAGGTAGGAAGGGTGACTGAAGTGACAGACATCTGCAGCTATGACCTCTAACAAAATGAAGTCAGCTAGAGGGTGCCTTCATGTCTTCACCCTGTGGACATCCAGCTGCCCTGGCAAAAAGATGATGGTAACAGATGGTAAGTGATGCCTGAAGTATTTGCAGAACTGGAGATAAGCCATGCCTCAGAACAAAATAAGTCTCCCAGCTTTCAGACCCACAGCTTGTTCAAACTCCATTAAAACACATGATTGTTCTACCACAGACTAAAGAAGAAAAAAAATCAAGCACTAGGAGTATTTTATGACTTTGGACTGCCCAAATTCATCATAAAAATATAAGTATCGTAGTTAAACTGGAATTCATATCTGACTTGCACCAAAACTGTAAGAATGTTTGATATCATCATTATAAAAAATTCTAAGGAAACTTAGTTGTGTAAGTATTTTGCAAGTCAGTAGCTTTGAGAGAAATGAAACTACAAAAAAATTAAAGGCCAAGCTTATGGGAAAGACTGTAGTACTTGAAAGAAAATCCTTCAGCTGCCTTTTAATTCCTTAACTCTGCATTTTCCAGGTTCTGAGTCAAAGTGGATACAGCCCATTTCCTCAATAGGATGCTGTTGAAAAGTTCATCCTCATAAGTGATTTCCTATTTAGTCTCAAGTGCTCTACAAGAATCCCAGGGGCACTGTCCCTAGCTGACCTGTAAGTTGCAAATCCATTAGAGATTTATTCACAGAATTATAGGAAGATGAGGGTCGGAAGCAACCTCTGGAAGTCTCTAGTCCAATCTCCTGCTCAGAACAGGACTAACTCCAAAGCGACAGTGTGCTGCCTAAGGCCTCATACAACCAAGTCCTGAAAATCTCCAAACACTGAGACATTACCACCTCTCTAGGTACCTGTCCCATCACTTCATTGTCACGGGGAAGGATTTTTTTTTTCCTTAATATTGAGTCAGAATTTCCTGTATTACAGCTTGTGACCAAACCCATTGCCTCTTGGTCTTTCACTATGCACTGATTAGATTTAATATGGAAGCAGTTAAGGAGCTAAGCAAACAGGTTTCTTTAAGGGTGAGGGAACTTCTTCCTCCATCGCTTATTGGATACCCAGAAGAAAAAAAGGATTACGTTTTTTTGCTAGATATTAACCTACCGTGCATACTGGGGTCCTGTGGAATCATACCACTGGCTGGAAGCAGTGATGTCTTCATCTCGTATCGTCCCTTCATGCATACCCAAAGGGTAACGGCATATAGCTGAAAATGGAACACAAGCAAGTTAAAAAAAACAGTACCAATTCTTTCTAAATCACCAGACAAGTTTAATTAAAAGGCTATCATGCCTACGGAATAAACATGGTAATGATAAAATAGAGAACGCAAATAAAAAGGATGAAATACTTCATAATTACCATAAACTGAAATTATGAGTAATGAAATACACTCACAGTTAGTATCACTCAGCAGAGTCCTGGCAAGGCAAAAACTTTCCAAAGAAACATTTTAAGAACATGAAATCCAAAACTGTACTAGTGTTACTGGTTGCACAGACCTATTTTGCAATGAAAAATTATTTATCAATAATGATACGACATAAAAAAGCATTTATTAAAGATTTTTCTTCTTCTGGAATAAAGTGGATGCTTGACTTGCATTCAAATAGGAACAATTATTATTTTCACCAGCCCAGTAACAACTGAGAAGTTAAACAGCTTCTATTACAGATGACTAGGCTAGCTTACAGAAACATCTGCGCTGTCATGTCATGTCACTGCAGGTTACATTTGAGCACAAGCCCCTGACCATCCACACTGCCCCATCCTGCTCTGGTCCCTCCAGCGTCAAGTGAAGCAAGCATTTCTCTCCAGGCATGAGAAGACTCTCAAACTCGGTGCCTTCAGGGAGTACAGGCACAACTGGCTCAAGGCACGGAGCTCTACAAGCTCAATACAGCTCAATACACCAAAGACAGTGCAGATGTAGCTTAAAAATCCAAACTGGCCAAGCCCTCTCCCCTAACACAAAGTTTTAAACAAGTCTTGGAATATTAGAGATGTTTCAGAAAACTTAAAAATTTAATGTGTTCATTAAGGCTCAGTATTCAAAACAAGCAAGGAAGATATTTTTGTCAGACTGACATCAACAGCAGATTAAAAAGAAAGCTATATGGGATTAGATCATGAAACAACTAGAAGACAAAAGTATAGTCAATGGCAAGTCCCAGAAAAAAAATCCTATATATTTTTGGTCTTTGTCTTCTGAGCTCAGAGTAGCCCCAGCTCCTCCCATTTGCAGTGACACAGGCAAGTGCCAGCACATGCTCCAGTCACTCCAGAGTGGCATTTGTGTCGGTTGGCATCCTCACTGCTACACTGCCCGCTGCCATATTAGCGGTTCTGCCTGCCTTTCCCTCAGCAAGGGCACTGCCTTGGGCATCTTCCTCATTTTTGTATCTCAGGACTGCTACCCTTGTACCAAACCTGGACAAAGCTGTTCATCAGGTTCCGAAGCTACAAGAAGAGACAAGAGGCACAAAACCCATGTTATTACCACCACAGAGAATAAACAGCCACAGGCTGAATAACTCCCTGACAGATTTCAACGTAGAAATGTTTGCAAACAGGTTGTTTCAAAACGATTTGCCTGCAGCTGTGTTCAGGCACTATCAATGAATGTGTGATGTTCTATATGTTCCTAAATAATCTTGTAAAAAGGAGATGGGTGGTGAAGTGACAATGTTTGCTGATGGTACCAGATTATTTAATATATAAAAAAGCAATTATGGGGATACATACAAAACAAACCAGAAAACACCATTACACCACCGTCTGTAGTCATGGTCAGATGCCAGTCAGATATGGAGCTCTTACTCCTTCCTTCTCCCATCAAAAGGCAGAGAAGGTAACACAGATGATGCAAATGGAAAGATCAGCAGCCTCATCATTATAAAAGAAACAACTGAAGTGAAGTATGACAAAGATCACTTACATCATGAATAATTACTCCCTGTCTTGAAACACCAGAACCAGGAGGCATCAAAAGATCAGGTAGCAGAGTTCAAAACTAACACACACATCCTTAATCTATTACACACTACGAATGTCAAAGTTTCACATGGGTTCAAAAATCAGCTGGACAAACTCACACCTACCAAATACACAAGTGCTAGCTCAGAAAGCTCCTAAGCAGCAGACTGCAGAGAGCTGAGACCATAACCTGGGGTAAAGCACTGCTGTGTGCTTGCCCATCTGCGCACTCTTCCAGAACCAGCAGGGATGGGACCCTGCTGGAGTCAGGACACCAAGCCAGAGGGGCCTCTGGTCTCACTCCGAACATTCATTTGTATGTCTGAGGTTTCTTAAGAGGCCTGTTTACAGAAGAATTCACTGGGAGGCAGCTGGTGTCTGGCTGGGATCAAGCATGATGGATTGTGGTTGCTGAAAGCCAACTGAGAGCCCTAACCCCGCTCTGATACTGAACAGTAAGTTTAGTAAATCAAACTAGCCTTGACTCTTCACTCTTACCCTGTTCCACCACAGACCAGTACAATCTGATCTATTGCTGGAAAGCTAGTATGTTACTGGGCTATGGGTAAATATCCGAAGATTTTCCAAAAGGGTGGGGACATCAGCTGAAAGCAGAAAGTGTTTCTGTGCTTCTGCTGGGAGTCCTGTCCGGTCACACCTCATTTAAAGGTCAAGTGCACACCCTACAGCAATGCCAGACAGAGAGCTAGCTCATCGGGAAGGACTCTGGGGGACCGAGACTTACTGCAATCCTTAACAAAACTCATTCATTCACAAAGCCATGACTGGCAGATGGAAGCCTGAATGTCCCTGGCATCGAGGGATGTGCTCTACAGGTGGCCACGGCTCTCACCAAAACACACATCCTCTTCAGCAAAACTGTCCTTGGGTCCTGTTTAGGTGCCACCAGGGCTCTCGCTGAGATATCACTAACCCTTCACTGTGCATTCAGGGACACACACTCACCTGCCATGCAGACAGGACACCTAGAGGCTCAGAAGAGTCACAGCCCACCTCTGTTACTGAGGTCAAACAACCGATGCTAGGCAAAAGGACTCCCTACATGAGATGCTTCCTACATAGGTCTGAAATCATCCACCAAGCAGCCCCTTTGGTTTAGAAGGCAATGCAGGAGGTGCTTCAGACCACCCCTGGAGCAGATCAGGAGGTCCAGATAATCCATGAAGCCTGTGAGCATCACAGCCGAGGAGCAGCAGCTGGGCTATGGGTGTGCTGGAGCCTGGGCGGGAACAACAGGGCATGGTCCCTGGGGGCAGACAGGCAGCTGAGCAGCTGTGGGAGCTGAGGAAGCAAAGCTGCTTGAGGAAGTCACAGGCAGAACTGAGAGCAAATGTGAGCAAAACTACATGCTTATTTCTTGGTGGAAAAGATTATTGCAGGAGGGTGGGACCACAGCCCTGTGCTGAGAGCCCACCCCACCTGCCAGGATGTGGTGGTGGTGGGGAAGCTACTCCTGCACTTTTGTGTGCACTAACTTCTGTACTTACCACCACCAAAAGGAATCTGCGTGTGACTGACCCTCTAGCTGCCACCTTCCCTCTTCTTCCACTAGGTTTTAACCATCAGAACCAGATGGCAACCCCAGTTCAAAGTTGGACATGTAGGGGGGTGTACAGTGCAGGGAACGGCTGTGTAATGGGGGAGCCCAGGAGTGCCTGCTGAGCTCCCCCCACAGGCCTCACTTCACTTCTGGCTGGTTGCAGCACAATCTCAAACCTCTGCAAAGATCCACAGGCCAGAGCCAGACACAGTCAAAGGGCTCCAAACAGAGACAGACTCAGCAGAGCAAACGAAGGCCCTCGGGGCAGCACTGCTGCCTCACCACACCTTCAGCCAGCCTGGAAAAGGATTAGACTCATCTATTTCAGACCGTCTCCAGCTCAAACCACCTCATTACAGGGATTTGTGCAATATATTGCACACCATTATATTACTCATCTCCATCACGACTGTGACTTGCCAAATGCTGTAGGATAAGAGGTCATACGCTCCTCAGGGACTCTTAGAATCATATCCCTGTCTCCACCCTAGCTTCATGCCAGGTAGGGTTTTCTACCTTTCCTTCCATACTTCTCTCTCCAGAACCCCTCTTGCTGGCTGGAGAGCTGTGGCTTATGCTTTGCTAACTGGTCATTTGCTTTCCACAGTGAGCACAGAATCTCTGAGCCAGTCTAGGGCCAGGTTTGTTCTGCAGGGCACATGGATGAAGTGACGAAGGGATAATCAGAGCTCAAGACAGGCCTGCTGAGAGCACAGACCCTCTGGGTGGGCAGAGAAAGGAGTATAACCATGTGCCTGAGCCCTCCTGGGACTGTCAGGAGAGGTGTCCCACTCCAGCACAGTTGTCAAGGAAGACTGGCCACCTCAGTCCAGAGGAGGGCATTCAGGAACTACCTTAGAGGTTGTATTTATGTGCCTTTGTTACATTCATATGCATACACCATGAGAGGCAAAGAAAGGCTGACAACGAGCATATGAAAGGTGGGAGGTCAGACTCCTTTCCCAGCCTGGCAGCTCCCTACCAGGGTTGACTTCGGTGCCAGATGGCTCAGGCAGTGAGGCCAACAGCAGCATGCAGAAGATCATGGTAGCAATCGGAGGCGCTGCGCAGGGTCAGATGGGTGCGACTCCTTCAAAGACAGCAGCTGCCATCTACATTTCTGAAAGACAAAGCAAAGAGAGATAATGAGAGTCCTCCAAAGACAGGACTTCTCTGTGCTGCAGACTTGCTGTATTGTCATTGCCTCGTGATGAGTGGGCAATCTTCCATGCCTTCAAGAGTGCCTTGACCTCAGCCCTACTCTGACCCATCACCTGATCAGAAGCTTAGTGAAGAACTAATGATTGCCTGACTACCCATACCATCACTAAAGCTACGAATGTAATTGGGCTTTTAGGAGCTCAGCTGCCATGACTACTGTGTGGACATACTCTCTTAACTGCTCTTAAACAGGTCCAGTGCAAAGTAATCCCTCCCCCATTGATTCTTCACTTTCCTCATTATATTAACAAGTACTGAAGCTGCATCTACAATGAACCTGGACAGTCCAACCAGGCTCCCCAAGCGGGGCTTATCCACCCAATGCACACCTCTGTCTCCACCAGCTGTCTACTGCAAGTAGCCAAGTGGGCACTCTGGAACTTGTCACACAACCTTAACATAAATGTCTAAAACAGGGCAAGAATAATCTCTCCCAACATGTCCACATTGCTGCCAAAAGAGCATGTGCACTCACACATGTGAGCACACTTAATTTCCTGTTTGGAAACAAGGAAAGCAGCAAAGGGCTTAAACGCTGGCAATTTCAGTGGAAAGCCATGATAACACCTAAAGGAACACAAGGTTATATCAGCAGTTATGTGAATTCTTTGTGTCCTACAATGAGACTCAGGAGGTTCCCATCCTGGAAGATAGCTTTACAGAAGGCAGGTTAGTGGCTCTGTCTCACATCAAAACACCAGGTGAAAAGAAAACAGAACAAATCAATAAACGAAGAGTTGCCAGCATCAGCGGGTGTTTGCTCAAAAAGCCTCAGAGTGGTAGTAAAAAGGCAGAATTGAATGTCAGGATTTGTTAGTAAAGGAAGAGAGGACAGAAAAGGGACCATCACTATACCAGTGCATGCATGCGTGCAAGAACATCAGATGCCATTAGCTCAGAGATTTGTAACAAAAGGCAGTATTTTTTCCACCCAACATAATTAAACTGTACAAGTCACAGCCATGAGTTGCCGTGGATACCAAAACAATTGGATATATTCACAACAGAAAGATACATCACTGCTTCTTAAATCCGAAGGTAAAACCTTTGGCTCAGGAAATCCCCCAGCTGCAGATTGCTAGACGCCCAGAAGCTAAATCAGGGTTAGAATCACTGAAGCTTGCCCTGTTTTTATTCTCTTTCCTAAGGATTTGCTACTGGCCATTGTCCCTGCTGGATTCCATCAGAAAAGATGGCTCCAAGCCTGAAAAACAACTAAGGGCCTTCTTGGGAAAAGAGCCAAACATGCATGCAGGAGGGGAAACTAATGATCGGTGGATGCTGCCTGGCAGTGCTGTGCCTGGCCACACAACAATGCAAGCAAATCAAAAAAGACCTTAAAATTGTCAGGACCCCACCTCATGTGCTCCAGCTGAGCATCCTGGCCAAGGCTGGGAGGAAGGTGACCACAAGGTTCTGTGATTTTGTGGCATCTTGGGCTGTGAGTGTGCAAAAGCAAAGCGCTGGAAAGAAAAGGCAGTCCGTATCTCAGCAGGAGGGTCTGGCAATCAGAAAGAGGTTTTGACCAAGCACTCTGTGTGCACTTCCAAGGTTGTCTTTGCCCCCTGAAGTGGAGGGGGGTGATCTCCGATACAAACATACCAATTCCCACCATCCCATGGCAGACTGCAAGTAGCACAGAACAGAGACCTCTTGTAGCCATGCAGAGGGAGATTCTGTAAAGACATTTTAGCTGCAGAGTTTGAAGACAGACCTGGTGGACGTTAATCTATGCAGGTGATTTGCTAGGGTGCCCCAGAGGCTTCCAAAGCAAGGAACTGTGGAGAGTTCAGCACTAGAGGGGACTGTCCTCCCAGAGGACATAAGAAAGGAAAATCTCATGAACATTAAGGCTTTTAACTTCCTGGAGGAGGTGATGGAAAACACAGCAGAGCTGTTTGGTGGTATACAGGGTGCCCTGACCATGACCCAGGAGGCTGCCCAGATCAGCTGGGCTATGTGGGTATAGTCTGGGCTAGAGAAGATCCTTCCCCTGGGTCCCCATGCTGGACCAGCTACTGAACAGAGCTTGGACATCTCCTAGGTGACTTCTCAGCTGGAGGTTTAAAAGCTGCCAGCTGTACTGGAGGCAGAGGATGAGCACACATACACTCCACTCCGCACCCTCATCACCCTTCAGGGCCTAGAAACAGAGCCTGGCAGACAGGGAGAGGATGAGGCATCTGTAAAGGCACAGGCTAGCTCCCACCAAAAGACACCCTCCAGTTTCCCCTCTTACTTGACCAGGGTTAAGTGAAAGGGTGGCCAGAGAGCACCGAACCAGCAATCGTACACGGCTAGGTGAGGACCGGAGCCCACTATTGAAGAAAAATTAAATGAGAGCGACCCCAGACATCACTGTAAGCCTTCAAATATCTTGGCTTCCCAATTGATCCAAAAGCCCAGCAAAGAAGGACCAACAGCAGGGAGGCAGATGTCTGCAGCAGAGCACAGGCACGAAGGAGCACCCATCCTCTGCCATCAGCACAGAGCTCACACCTCAGCTTGGATCGGCTACCGCCCCGAGTGAAAAGTACTGAGCTGAGTCTTAGCCTAAGGACTTTGGCTTTTCACAAAAGAGTAGTTGTGCTAAGTTTGCCCTTCTCTCAAAAGGATGTGCAGGCAAGTCATGACAACGGCCACCAACGTCACAGCAATACAATAATGGGATGTGTAACACAAACAGCATCATTATCTCATTCGACCAGGTACACATTGATTTAAGTGCCCATTTGCTTTATGCAAAGCTCACGCCATGTTCTAAATCACACCTATTGTACTGCCACACAGCCAGTCACATAATTTATAATGATGATCCCCCTTGAATAAAGGGATCAGAACACAAAAGATAACGGGAGGGAAGAGGGAATGAGGTGGGGACAAGGAAAGTCACAGAGATGCCCAAGCACCACATCAGCTCCTGCCACTGAGCCAGCAACCAGCACTGGAGGAAAGGTATGGGCTGGGGCAGCACAAACAGCTGTCTGTCCCACCCCGCTGCAGCCAGCACCCTGTGAACTGGGGGTTTCTCAAGACTTGATGGGCACATGGAGCTCAGCAGGTCAAGCAAAAATGGTGTGGCTTGGGGGAACTGCAAGCCAAAACTGGAAGATGTGGCCATAGAGACCAGCGTGGCCTCCAAGAACGACAAGAACACGTTCAAAGCTGGCTCTAGAGCTCTCCTGTCTACAGCTCTGTGCTGACAGAAGCTGGCTTTGAATTCGGCCCTTGCCTAAATAGCATCCAAGATGAGCAGGGTAAATCCTCTTGAGATTATTTGTCTCCACTGATGACAGAGGGAACCTAAATGGCTGGCCTGGACTAGCCTCATCATTCCCAGGTGGCCACAGTTTGGCAAGAAAATCCTCACCTTTGTACGTGGCAGTGAATAATATTTACAGTAGTTCAGCCCTACACAGAGACCCCAGCAGCTGGGTTCAGGCCGTGCCACGCTTGTCCTTCCCATCACACTTGGTTCCCAGTCCTGGACCACTGAAGTACATGTTTGGGAGTCCTGGGAGAGGTGATGCACACAGGGAGCAAATGGCATCATTTCTCATCTTCTAGTGCTCTACAGCAGCTCTTGTTATCTCAAGCAAGGTCACCAAAAGTGTTTTTCACCCGTCTCGTCATTTAGAGGAGCCCCAGCTCCTCTCAGGAGCTCGTACTGCCAGAAATTGCTGTTTGAGGAACTACTGATGTTGATTTCTGCTGAGTCTAAACCTCAGCTAGTAGTAGATCGGATTCCCAAATTTGCACATTTCCCAGTGCTAGAACACACTGGAATATACTACTAAATCCAAGCCTCTGTATGAACTGCTTGGAAATCATCTTCCTAATGATTTTTTCTGGGTAGGCGACTCAATACTTTTCTTTGCAGCGTTTTCAGCTGCATTAGAGTCCCTCGCTGGACTCACGCCTTTCTTCCTGACCTGCCCACACACACACAGAAAGTGCCAAAACTACAGCCCAAGCCCGAAACCAGCAAAAACAGGATTAGCAACATCCTCACAGAGGCAAGAAAGTGTTAAACTCTGTTCTCAGGACTGAATGGATCAAGTTGCTAATTGCTAACAGCTGGCTGCAGGAGAATAAAATCCTGTTACAATCATTGTGAGAGTGGAAAAAAAAAATCTACTTGCTGAAGAACTCACTAAGAAATGCAAAAGAGGGCAGTTTTTCCCAATATACCCAGTAGATATCAGGTCTAAAAAGTCAATCCATCTCTCCACAGAGAAACAGCTCGCTGTGACCCAGCGCTGTCCCCGGCACAGCATGAGGCCTTCAAGCAAGAGCACAGTGCGCACAGGAGGGAGCTATTCTTTAGTGATGTGCATGAAGAAGGTGGGACTTGGTGCTCCTCCAGGTACTGTTCTCCCTCCAGAGATCCATTACGGAGGTCTGGCATGTTTGCAAGCCTCTCTAGATCCCAACTGAAACAGGCATTTGTTTTAACTGGTTCCTTCGCAGATCATTACCTCGGAGTGGGACCTCAGGGTTTGCTGCAGGAATCCCATTACCGATGCCCAGCACCGTGCCAAGAAACTCCACGGTCATGGTCAAGACTCATAGCTGTGTGCATGATGCACTCTGTATGTATTACAGCAGGACCTATCCTAAACCAAAGTATCCTCAGAAGAGGTTCAGGAATAGTCAGGAGGACCAGATGGTATCTCCTGGCATTCCTAAAGGAATTCAAGGAAGAAGCAGCAAAGCTACTAATTGGGACAATAGCTGAAGCCTGGAGAAATAGAAGCTGGAAGGTGTGATTTCCATTTTTGTGGCTCCAGAATGATGGTGGAACATTTCCCTTTGCCTCAGAATTAATCCAAGACACCTCAAACCCAACAGTCCTCCTGTGGGGCACACATTTACAGCCCATGCAGTTCCAGTTTGGACCAAACCAAATTTG